CGCCATAATTCTCCGGTCCTCCCTTCGCTTCTGTCACGCGAAACCGCCTTAATATTCCGGCCTCCCCCCCTTTGGAAAAAAGGCGCCTTCGTATACCGGCCCCGGGGGCCGCTGAACAAGGGATTTGGAGTAGCGCAATCGTATTTCCCAGCCGTCCTATGGTGCTGGATCCTCGCTGTGAAAAGACAGCGCCCGTGTTCTCCTTCATCCTTCCTTCCTTCCTCCTCGCCCTCCTCCCCCTGCTCCCTCCTCCGCAGATCGCATGCGTCTCTCCCACCCAGTACAGCGCTTCGTGGCCCCAGAGGGAGCTCCACCAGAGGTCCCAGTGGCGCAGTTCGTATGGATCCCCCCCACACAGTACAGCGCTTAGTGGCCCCAGAGGGAGCTTTACCGCAGGTCCCAGTGGCGCAGTTCGCATGCGTCCCCCTCCCCTCCCCAGTATAGCGCTTCGTGGCCCCCCCAGAGGGGCCCCACCGAAGGTCCAGTGGCGCAGTTCGCATGCGCCCCCCCCCCGCCCAGCACAGCGCTTCGTTGCCCAAGAGGGAGCTCCACCGAAGGTCCCAGTGGCGCAGTTCGCATGCGTCCCCCCGCCCAGCACAGCGCTTCGTGACTCCACAGGGAACTCCACCGAAGGTCCCAGGAGCTCCACCGAAGGTCCCAGTGGCGCAGTTCGCATGCGTCCCCCCCGCCCAGTACAGCGCTTCGTGGCCCCAGAGGGGGCTTCACCGAAAGTCCCACTGGCGCAGTTCGCATGCGTCCCCCCGCCTGGTACAGCGCTTCGTGGCCCCAGAGGGAGCTCCACCGAAGGTCCCAGCGGCGCAGTTCGAATGTTTCCCCCCGCCCGGTACAGCGCTTCGTGGCCCCAGGGGGAGCTTCACTGAAGGTCCCAGTGGCGCATGTCGCATTCGCCCCCCCCAACCCAGCACAGCGTTTCGTGGCCCCAGAGGGAGCTCCACCGAAGATCCCATCGGCGCAGTTCGCATGCGTCCACCCCACCCAGTACAGCGCTTAGTGGCCCCAGAAGGAACTCCACCGAAGGTCCCAGCGGCGCAGTTCGCATGCGTTCCCCCCACTCGGTACAGCGCTTCGTGGCCCCAGGGGGAGCTCCACCGAAGGTCCCAGTGGCGCAGTTCGCATGCGCCCCCCTCTCCCCAGTACAGCGCTTCGTGGTCCCAGAGGGAGCTCCACCAGAGGTCACAGTGGCGCAGTTCGCATGCGTCCCCCCCACCCAGTATAGCGCTTCGTGGCCCCAGGGGGAGCTGCACCGAAGGTCAAAGGGGTAGTTCGCATGCGTCCCCCCCGCCCAGTACAGCGTTTCGCGGCCCGCCCGTGAGGGAGCTCCACGGAAGACGGTACCCAGAACCGCGGTACTCACATCTCCATGTGGTATGGTTCTTCGCAGGGCCCTAATTGCCTCTGGTCCTTACGTTTCTTCTCCTTCGTCGTGCTACTCGCAGTGCTGTGATGTTTTGACTCGCTCCCTCGTGACCTGCAGCCCATCTCGGCAGGCAGGCCGAGCTCGGTTGCGCGTACAGTGCCGTTTTTTATACATGCTCCGCGTGCGGACCATGCATCAAAATTAAGGGGTGACTAAGACATGCAAGGATGAGTTGATGGATTAATTCATTCATGGATTAATCACGTATTAAAGATGCCTAGTTTAAAACATCCTACGTCTTAGAAACAGCCCTGTAAGAAGGACCCCGAGGCCGGAGCGACCCCTTGGCGTGCGGGCCCGCGGGCGGCCCCCCTCTCAGCAGTGGCGCCCGCGCGCTGAGAGGCTCGCCCCCGCCTCCCGCGGGGGCCCCCAGAGCCGTGCGCCGGCGACCAGAGAACAGCAAGCACCCTTTACCTCCTCCCTCCTCCTCCTCCTCCTCCTCCCCTCCTTCCTCCTCTCCTCCTCCTCCTCCACTCCTCTCTCCCCTCCTCCTCCTCCTCCTCCTCCACCTCCATCCTCCCCCTCCTCCCCTCCCTCCTCCCTCCTCCCTCCTCCCTCCTCCTCCTCCTCCTCCTCCTCTCCTCCCTCTCCTCCTCCTCCTCCTCCTCCTCCTCCTCCTCCTCCTCCTCCCCCTCCTCTTTCTCCTCCTCCTCCTCCTCCTCCTCCTCCTCCTCCTCGGAGCGAGGAGGACTGGCTATGGGTACGCAGTCTGATGTCTGTCACAAGAAAGGGAGGGGGTCACAACCCTCCCAGACGAGCAGTCTGAGACCCCCCCCCCAGACCGTCCATGAAAGGACGGTCTTTCGCCCAGACGCCCACGAAACCTCCAAGACAAGCCGGTCGTTGAGAGTAGGTGTTTCTGGAATCCCAGATCCCACTCTACTTCCAGCGCTTCCCTACTTCAAGAGTCGAGCGGTGTTCCTTCTTCCCTCCTCGTCGGGGGGGTCGGCGGAAGTCCAATCTTCGCTGGGCCGGTGTTTCACCCCGTTCTGGTTTCCAGAATGACACTTTGAAATGTGCGTGCGCTGCGTGATGGAAAAACAAAAAAATCCTACGTCATGGCTCTACCTATTTCTTCCCACCGACGGGTGCCAATATGAGGGGTCGGAGGGGTGTGGGCGTGGGGTGTCGGATCTCAGGGGAGGCGCCAGTGCGAGCGGGCTCCCCCCTCCGGCAGCACGCACCCGTGGCCCTTTGCGGCCCCTCTGCGGGCACAGTCAACCCGCACAGTGAGGATTGGCAGCCTTCCCCAAGGGTGCCTTTGCATCCTTGCTCAGAGCCCCGAATCATCAGGGGTAACCCGGGTCAGGGCTAACTCGGGTTCGTTTTTCGGGAATCCGAGCCCGACTTACCCCGAACCCGAGTTACCCCGGATAATTCGGGCGTCCAGAGCCCCGAATCATCAGGGGTAACTCGGGTCAGGGCTAACTCGGGTTTGTTTTTCCGGGAATCCGAACCCGAGTTGCCCCGGGCCCGAGCTTCCCCGGATAATTCGGGCGCCCAACTTGCCTCTTGGGGCATCTTCGGTGATTCCTGAACCGCTTGCGATGGCCAGGCCCGCCCGAAGAGCCTCGGTGTGGGCGTCCACGGCCCGTGCATCCTCAGCGCGCATCTTCATGATACGGGCCGACTGTATGGGTGCGTGCTGCTCGTTCGTCCGGCGCTGGAGGTCCCCCTTGCCCAGGTCGCTCTTGCCCGGGAGGAGGCCGAGGAGGCCGAGGAGGAGGAGGAGGAGGAGGAGGAGGAATCGCTAGGAAGGGGAGATGAGAGAAGGAGGAGGAGAGAGAGAGGAGGAGGAGCGGATAGGCGAGGAGAGGAGGGTGAGGAGCCTAGAGGAGGAGGCGATGGAGGAGGAGGAGGAGGAGGAGGTCACTCTTGCCCGGGTCGCTCTCGCGCGCAGCCGGCCAGGCGGCACGGCCGGCCCGCCGCGCACGGGCGCCCCGCGCGCGCCCTGCCGCGCGGGAGTCCTGCGCGCGGGCTCCGCGCCGCGCGCCCGGCGGCGCCTGCGGGCCGCTCGCGCGCTGCGCCCGAGGGCCTGCGAGGTCGGGCGCACGCGCCTGGTTTCGGGCCGGAGGAAAGCCTTCTCCTCCTCCTCCTCCTCCTCCTCCTTCTCCTCCTCCTCCTTCTCCTCCTCCTCCTCCTCCTTCTCCTCCTCCTCCTCCTCCTCCTCCTCCTTTCGGGCCGGACGAAAAGGGGGGATTGGGAAGGGGAGGGGGGGTACTCAAGCAGTGGCGAAGCGTCCCGGCTCGGCTATAGCCCCACCTAGCAATGTTCTAAGAAAGGTTCTTAAGCTTTCTGGCTGGGACCATCTTGTTTTAACACATCGGGTTCCGGGCCGGACGAAAGCCTTGAGACGGGGGTCAGTGCAAATAGGGGTCAGCCAGGACACCGGATCTTGCAGGATCCTGCAGCGCCAGGGTCGCATTGACCCGGGTTCGGGTGCAGGATCCTGCAGGAGCTTACAGGATCCTTCGCATTGACACGGGTTGGGGAGCAGGATCTTGCAGGATTTTGCAAGGCCTGATTGACCCGGGTCTTGATTGACCTGGCTCAGAAGATCCCCGAGGGAAAAGGTGGGTTACGAAATTTGCCGCATGCAGCTGGTTTCGGCCTCACCGAGGGGCCCAGTCCTCGATACATGGCCGCCTCCGGCGCCGGGAGGCGCCGGGAAGATCAGCCACGTGAGCTGATTCTCAAAGCCCCCCTTGTGCTATCCCCCCTTTTCGCCCGACCCGATGGTTGCGGGGGCGCGTAAGTCTAGGCCTCCCAGATGGGGTCGGAGTAGATGGGGTCGGTGGATCGCGCCGCGTCGCCGATGCATCGAGGATGCGGCTCGACGTGGAGACCGATTCTCTCCACGCCGGCGTCGCCGATGCATCGCCGATGCAGCGCGTTCCTTCGACCCCATCTTCTCGGGCCCCAGCTAGGAGGCCTCTACAGTTTGGGATCGCGGCGGCTCGGGTTACGTCGGGCCTGTCCCTCAACGGGAGGAATCTCCAAACATAGTTTTGAAAAAATGGTCTGGGGACGATGTGTTCATTTTGGGGGGGGGCTACTCGTGAAAATATGTTTGCCAGCCCCAGCCGGCGGTCACCGCGGATTTTCGCCAACCCTGTAAAAAATGGGGCCGGCAACACATCGGTGGCCTTGGCACCACGCGGGGGGGGGGCCGGCAAAAATAATGTTGGGGGGGTGTTTTGCATTCCAAGATTCAAGGGCAGAAAAAACGCCCCTATACCCTGGTTTACGATGCGCTGTGCGCTGAAACTCCTGTGGGCTGACAGGGTAAACCCTGCGTGATGTGCCGCGTCCTGGCGGCTCTAGGCTTGGGGGGGTCCCAGGAGGTTTGCAGACCACGCACTTGTAACCCAGGGTAGGGTCGTTTTCTCATCCCTCAAAAGATCCCCCCCTGTGGGGGGACACGCCCGACGTGAGGCTCGGGCTCGGCCTCATGATCTGCGGCGTTGCCGTGGCCGCGGGCGTCGCCGGCTGGGCGGCCGCGCGCCTCTGCCACGGGGAGCGGCGGCGCGCCGAGGGCGAGCCGGGCGGCGCCGCCGGTCTGCCGCCGCTGGCGGCGGCGCCCGGCGCGCCCTGCGCGCCGGGCGGCGAGGAGCGGCCTGGCGCGGCGCGGCGGAGGCCGGCGAGGGTCCCAGGAGCGATGCGGTGAGAGAAGGAGGAGGGGGAGCGAGAGGAGGAGGAAGAGGAGGGGAGGCGGAGGGGAGGAGGAAGGGAGGAGGGAGGGGAGGAGGAGGAGGGGGAGGAGAGGAGGAGGAGGAGAGGAGGAGAGAGGAGGAGAGGAGGAGGAGGAGGAGGAGGAGGAGGAGGAGGGGTCCCAGGAGCGGTGCGATCGAGAGGAGGAGGACGAGGCGGAGGAGGAGGAGGAGGATGGGGGCGGAGGAGGAGGAGGAAAAGGAGGAGGAAGAGGAGGAGCCGCCAATTTCCTAGGTCACGTATCGGCGGCGAGCGAGGGAGGGGAACGAGAAAGAGCAGGTCGTCTCGGCAGGCAGCGGGACTTCTCAGAAGCCCTCTGGCACTCTGAGAGGTGCCTTCGGGGCAGGATCCGGACAATTCTCAGAAGGCAGGGGAATTTCCGAGCCTTCTGAACGGAAAGAATGTAATTCGGTCGGAGTAGATGAGGTCGAAGGATCGCTCCATGCATCGCCGGTGCGGCTCGACGCGGATCCCGTTGTGCTTCACGTCCACGTCGCCGATGCATCGCCGACGTCGGCGATGTATTACTGGTGCATCCCTGGTGCATCGCCGATGCTTCTGCGATGCGGCACAATCCTTCGACACCATCGACTCCGACACCATCTTAGGCCTCTAGAAGACCGGCAGCTGTTCCTGCCCATTCTGAACCGAAGTCGTTGTCGGCGTGGCCGCAGACGCTGGTCGATTGAGACAGGAGGCCGCCTGCCCAACAGCGGCCGCTGCCGGCTTTGGGCAGCATTTGGGGCGTTCCAAACAGGGTCTTGCCTTCGAGGGTGACAGGAGCTGTCATCTCTTCCTCTGCGGAAGGCGGCGGCTGAAGGTTGGCGGGAGTAAAACGAGGCCACCTCCGCCGGCGGAAGCCGGCGGAAGCTGGCGGAAGCTCGGCGGAAGCTCGGCGGAAGGCGGTGGGAGTAAAGTATATGCCCCAAAGAGGTGAAAACGGTTTTGGATTCAGGGGGTCCAGAATCGCGCCCTTTTTTGTTCCAGTACATCTATAGGGCGCCCCGACAGGAGCGGATGCGCGACAAGATGCTCAAGCTGCAGCGGCAGTCCCAGGAGGTGGTCCGCTGGGAGGCGCAGCAGATCTCCCTGCTGGGCCTGCGGCCCACGCTCTGGATGGAGGTCTTCGACAAGAAGCACCGGCCGGGGGCCGTGCTCTACGGCTACTGGCAGCGGTGGGAGCTCTCCAACACCGAGCTGGGCTTCTTCGACTGGCTGGACTCCGGTCCAGGCTCCCTGGTGGACCTGCCGACGTACCCCCGCAGGCTGCTGGACGAGTGGCACGTGCTGTACCTCACGAACGAGCAGCAGCAGCTGTTCGAGGTCGAGATCGACCCTGCCACGGGACTGTTCTCGTGGGGCCTGGACGGGAGCTTGGTGACGCTTCCCGCGGAGATCAGACCTGAGGAGGAGGAGGAGCTGTCCCAGCGAACAGAGAGGGAGATCAGAGTGGGCGAGCTCATACAGCCGAGGCTCCAGAAGAGCGTCTACCGGAACAGGCTCCTGGAGCGCCTCCGGGCCGACGTGGAGCGGGCAGAGAAGCTCAGAGAGGAGCCCACGCGAGAGCGGATTGGGCTCATGACTCAGGAGCTGAGGGACGAGGGGCTGCTCCGCCAGCTGCGCGACCCCTTCTTCCGCGATCGGCTGGATGCCGACGCTCAGCCTTCGACGCCCGCGTCGGCGAAGAGGCTGTCAGTCAGCCTCGCCGACGTCGACGACATCAAGACGTGCATAAGACTGAGGTCCAGAAGCACCGTCGACGATCTAGGCAAGCACTGCCTCATGCAAGACCTGCTCCCGAACCTCTCCTGGAGCCAAGTCCTCGACGCCGTGGACCACGAGGAGGGCCGCAAGATGGCTGGCGGAAGCCGCCTCGCGGACGAGGGCAGAGCTAAGAAAGGCATATTCGTGCTGGACAAATTCGGCAAGTTGTACTGCGGGCCCAAGCTACGCGGGACGTTCCAGCACTCGTCATTCGTCCGCGGCCACTGCGTGAAGGTGGCGGGCGGCATCCGCATCTCGAACGGCAAGGTTCTGGAGCTCTCGCCACACTCGGGCCACTACCAGCCCCTGCCAGAGCAGATCAGCAGGATGCGGGAGGATTGGGCGCGCAAGGGCGTCGACTTCACGAGCGTGGTGGTGAAGCCTTACGAGAAGTAGCGGCCAGGGTGGCCCCATTCCCGTATGCTCGCCCTACGCCTACACATTATCCTTACAGTCGGGAACGTTTGGATAGCCTGTCGCTCCGCTGGTTCTGGTTCACCGTGCCTCGGTGCGACACGCAATCCACTTCGCGGTCCCGAGGCGTGCACTTGCCGAGCTTTTCCGAGCTCCCTGTCCCGCGGAGCGGAACGACACGCTGTCCGCTCGCAAGGCACAGCGTGTTGCCAGGCCGCCGTGGCGACACGATATCCATAAGTTCCCGACCGTAGCCTTCTCCCTCTCCTCCTACCCTTCCTCCGCGTCGTCTTGTTTGGGGAGTGGCCGCCAGCACTCGCTGTTGCGACATCTAGCGTCAGTGTTTGGCTTGCTGTCTCCGCCTTGAGGGTGGCGTGCTTGGCCGCAGTTTGACGAATACGGTCAGGAACTTTGGCTTAGCGTGTCGCGCCGCTGGTTCTGGCCCACCGCACTTCGGCGCGACATGCTAACCGCTTCCCAGTTCCCGAGCTTGTCCCAGCCGCCCGCCCCGCGGGAGCGACACGCTGTCCGCTCGCAGGGCATAGCGTGTCGCCGGGGCCGCCGCCACAAAGCGCTTCGCAAAAGTTCCCGACCGCAGGCATCGTGTGTGTCTCACTTTCGGTCGGCTGCATGTTGGGCGGCCGGCACCTACATCAGCCCGTGCGATTTCCGCGCACTGCTTCCGCTTAGTGGGCGGAGGCCGGAAGCGTGAAGCGGCGAGCGCTGCAACTTGCGCCGACCTCCGGTCAGGGGGCCCGCACCTTTCGCCCGTTGCGGGAAAGTTCCTCTCGGTGGCGCTGGCTCCCTGCGGCAAAGCACTTCTCCCTCCTGCTCCTCCTCCTCCTCCTCCTCCTCCTCCTCCTCCTCCTCCTCTTCCTCTTCCTCTTCCTCCTCCTCCTCCTCCTCCTCCTCCTCCTCCTGCTGTGTCCTCGTCTTCGCCCTTCTCTTCCCTCTCCTCCTCCTCCTCCTCCTCCCTCCTCCTCCTCCTCCTCATCATCCTCCTCCTCCTCTCCGCCTCCTCCTCCTCCTCCTCCTCCTCCTCCTCCTCCTCCTCCTCCCCCTCCTATTCTTCTCCTCCTCCTCCTCCTCCTCCTCCTCCTCCTCCTCCTCCTCCTCCTCCTCCTCCTCCTCCTCCTCCTCCTCCTCCTCCTCCTCCTCCTCCTCCTCCTCCTCCTCCTCCTCCTCCTCCTCCTCCCCCTCCTCCTCCCCAGCAGCTGGTTCGTCCCCTCCGCGTGAGGGCAGCCGACGGCGAGCCTCGTGTGGGCCCGTCTAGCCAGGCTTTGAGACCTGGCGGAAGCTTACCTTGGGTGAGCTTCTGGATCGCCTTCCTGCCTCCTTTCTGTGGGGTTTGGCAGGAATCCACGAATTTCTTGGCAGCACGAATGGTCCAGGCTCCACAACGGGAGCACCACCAAATACCCCTCAAATCTTTGATGAAGGGCCGATGATTGGGATGAAAACGCTGCTGGGGACCCCTGGGCAAGCAGGGGGCTTTGAGTCACCTGGGGGTCCGTTTAATTACGCTCCCTGACCTCCCGCAAAGCCTGCAGGAGATCTCGAAGAGGGGAGGGGACGGGGCACACGAGAGACAGTGAGACGTTCTGCCGAGCTCTACCTGGAGGGCTGCTACACTCCTATATATACATGTGCCTCACTACGCTGCTGGTTGATCTCCTCATCCTCCTCCATGCCCAGGGTCTCCTTGTTATCCCAATAGTGCTGCTGGATGGAAGCGAGTTTGTCTCGAACGAGCTCAGCATGGATGTCTGCTCCTTCGATCTGTCTGACGAGCCAGGCTGGGATCCGTCTCCAACGGGCTGCCTCGGATGCAAGCTTGTCGGCATGATCGTAGAGATGGGAGGCCCACCCCGCGCGGCTTCGAGCTCCGTGGGGTGATTCTTGATGTTGTGGAAAATCAGATCGTCCCGCCTCTGGGCTGCTAGACTCCAGAATTTCCGCCACGTGTAGGGTTTCTGGTGGTTCCTGTACTGGGGCCCTGGAGAAGCTTGATATGACGTAGGCGCAATCTGTGATGACGAGGAGCTGGCCCTGGGTGGACTGGAGGAGAGCGACGACTGCCTCGAGCTCCGCCAGGGGCACAGTCTGGGGGCCGATGATGTCCCCTGAATGGTGCCCCTCCAGGTGGGATCCTCTGTGCACCGGGAGACACTCCAGCCACAGACTCTGAGTCGGGGGTCCTTCGTGAGACTCCCGCCGTTGCCGTCCGTAGCCGCCACCTGCCAATCGTCAAAGTGATAGACTGGATGCTGCTCAAAAACTCCTTTTCGGACCGTGTCCTGCTTTAGGTCGATGCTGTGATCATGCAACTGGCGGAGGAGGGTGGCTGGGATGATGCCGCGGAGCCACAAGCACTGGTTCACCGGGGGCTCATGCACAGCTCGGCCCACTGAGGCTTGTGTACGCTGGATGCCTGGAAGGTTCAAGTTGGCCAATCTAGGACACGTCCAGAACTTATGTAAATCATCTGCATGATCCTGGCCGCACAGATGGCACTGGGAGTCTTCTGGCTGGCCGCTCTCAAATCTGCGGTGGGTGCTCCAGCACCTCGAACAAGAAACTGCGGCGAGAGCGACGGCTCGTGAGAGTTCCTCCTGGATCTGGATGAGCTGGGCCCTGGGTGGGGGGGCGTTCTCGGCGATCTCCCGTTCTTTCTTGTTGGTGGCGGCTTGCTTCCTGCCTGGGTAGAGCCTGAGCGAGTAGACGTTCCCCCCCCTCCTCCAGGCCCCTCGAGTCATGCCCGAACGTGGCCGTGGATTCCCAAATACGCATGGTAAGGAGGAACTCCACGTGAAACATAAAGAGGTTCTGCTGGTTCCAGCTCAAGGGCTTGACAGGAAACTCGTGGCCTCGGGGGTCGTTCCAGAGCCAGGCTGAGATGGGGGTCCACCCTATGTCGTAGAGGGTGGCGACGACGGCGGAGATGTGTGACCTGACCATGAGTCACCTGGATGGCTTCTGGAGTTTGACCTTCAGGATCTCCCAAGACTTCTGGATGCCTCCGAGAAGGGTGAGCTCCGTGTTGATGACCCAAAACCACCTCGTGAAAAGTTGCAGCCTCAGGTAGATCACTGGATCGACCTCGGATGGATGATTGCGCTGGGTATGGAGGCCTGTTGTCAGGCAGCCCCCTGCCTTTGAAACTCCCAAGGCGGCACCCGCCAGCCTGCGAAAATACCGCACTTCAGTAGGCACTGATCCGTGTCCTTCCATCCCCCACTTCAACTGCGGGAGAGCGTCTGTGCGGAAAAGGGGCCGTGCCTTGGTAGAGGTCTTGGCCAGACTCTTGATGTTCTTATGCCTCTGGATCCCGAGGGCCCGTCGCTGCCGCCGGACTGCTAGAGCCCTGTTCTTCCCGATCGTAGTGTGTCGACCCCGAGGCCCCGAGCTTTCTGAGCTGGGCGGACCGCGATGCTGTTCCGGCCGAGGTCCGAATGTCGGCGGAGCTGGCCAAGACAACGGAATTCTCGGAGAGACGGCGTCCCAGCTCGGCGAGTCCTCCGCAGAGTTGCCGAAGGAGAGCTGGAACAGCGGATTTGAGGGCCTCTGGACTTCCCACCAAACGGATTTTGATGTCATCAACAGGCCAGCCACAGCTGGGGGAGCTGTGGTCCTTACCCCCTGGGGGGCCCATCGATTTCGACACCCCTCTCGAGAGATCGTCGATGCGATGGGTTCCCCCAGGGGGGTAAGGACCACAGCTCCCCCAGTTATTGACTGGTCGGATCATCCCAAGTTCTGGTCGTGGGCCTCGGGATTTGGTCGTGGGCCAGGTGCAGGACGCCGTAGAGGAGGGCCCTTATCCAGGGAACGATTTGCCCGCACCCTTGGAGGATCGAAGCCATGGGGATGAGGGGTTCACTGATTCCAATAGGCGTCGTGAGGACTCTCGTGCATGCATGCGTGATCATGCCTAGCGCCAGAGGGGCCGCGGGGTAGCCGAGCGCCACGGCCTTCTCGGCCAACTTCTGCTGGCGAATGGCATCGAACAACTACTCGAGGTCTAGCACACCCTCGATGATAAAACACTTCAAAGGTGCACTGATCTCGGCAAACAGCTCGCTGACTAGGGCTGCTCTTAAACAATCACTCCCTCGGATGGCTGCGTCCCAGAAACCTGCCTTGGCATCTTCCCAGGATGAGATTTGGCCCTTCCTGCAGGGGGCATTGGCGAGGGCGATTGGCTTGTCACTGACCTCGGTCTTGGGCTTCAAGGCCACGAGGTTGATGAGGCACTGGGCGGGGTACTGCTGCAGCCTACAAATGTCGTCAACTATTCCTGCGAGAATCTCCAAGCCTTCAGGTGGGAGCCGCCGAAAATCAGCTACTCTCCACTGATCTGCTCCTGGGGCTGACTGGCGCGAGAAACTCCTGAGGGCCTTCTGGAGTTGAGCTGAGGTCCAGTTTTGAGATGCATCCCAATAATCAATAGCTTGCTGGCGGAGATCTTGGAGCCATGGGGCCTCGAGGGGCTTCTCGGGGAGGATCTGATCTGGGTCCCAGTGCTGCAACCAAAACTCGTGCTTGTGGTTGAGGACCTTTGAGGGGTCTGTGATGATAGCCCCGTCGACCGAGCCAAAGACGGCACTGTCCTCCTCGGGGGTGGGCGCAGGGACCTTGGTAGTATGATGTGCTCCTCCTCCTCCTCCATGGGCGAGGGAATCCTGGAGCAAAACATTGAAGGCTGCATCTTGTTGCCGCACCGCCTCCCAGTCAAAATGCTGAACAATCAGCACGAGCTGAAAGCGGGCATCGGCGTCCCGAGCTGGCGGCCCCGTCCCTGCGAGGTAAGACTGCGCCAGCGCCTGAGTTGCTGGCAAAAGACCTTGTGGCCAGACGGGGTTCGCCTGCAGCACGGAGGTGAGGTAGGTCTGGAGCCTCCCGGCCTCTTTGGGGGCCTGGGTGGTGCTGGAGTTAATGGTCCCATTCTTGAGCCCGCTGCTGGACGACCCCCCACTGGCGGCTGTCATGATGAAGCCGATGTTGGAAGGGCGTGGGCGTAGGGGGAAGGATGTCTGTCCAGATGGCCGCGAAACCGCCCCCGCGGCTGCGCCATTCCTGGGGCCCAGCAGGAGCCCCCAAGCACCAACCCTTGAGGGCCCGACTGAGGAGGCAGTACTGGTGGGTGGGTGGGGCGTTTGTAAACCCTTCTGCACCTGGAAACTGGACCTCTGGAGGCTCGTGCTTGTCCGGCTGCGCCTGGCGCCAGCTGTGCGCCCACGGGCTAGCAGGCGGCGCCTGACTCTGGATTGAAACTGCTTACCGAGGGAACCATCCTGGGCGATGGAGCGCCTCCGCGCGGAATGCTGCTCGTAACCCGATGTGGGGCTTCCATGGGCTGGTCAGGTCGGTCTCGGCTGAGGGGTAGTCAGATATAGAGTTGTGGGTGATGAAGTAATCGATGTGGCGACCGTTCCGACACGACGTCTCGACGTTGGCGGTTTTGATGACTCCCGAGATTTTCATGACCCAGGGATGGCCCGCCAGGAGCTCTTGGGGGACCATGTCGAAGTTCCCCGAGATGATGAACGGGAGGTCGAGGGACTGGAGGAAGATAGCGATCTCCTCAACAACCTGGAGGTTGAAGGCGTTGTATCCGACACCCAACTGGAGGTACACGGTGAGGAGCACAATGTTGCGAGACTTCAGACGGAGCAAACATGATGTCCAGTTGGTGACCCCCACCAATGGCTTCTTGCTCCCCTTCCCCATCATGATTCGCGAGTGAGAGTGAAACTGTCTAGAGACACACATGCCAAGCGCGCCTGAGGTGCCCCCTGCTGCTGTAGCCGATGCGGGACACGGATAACTCTTGTAGCCAAGCTTCCCTATGTACTTACGTGTCTCTCCCACCTACCCC